GATGAGATCTGCATGTGCTCTCTGTTCTAAGGTGTATGCATAATGCCCTGTTTCAAAAAATACTCTAACTTAAGTGTAGGCTTCTGAGCAAGAAGGGGTTTCATATTATACCTGTATTAAGTAAAAGTGATTAGTCCTCTTACAGTACAGTAACATACGAGCGGTGTCTGTTGGCAGCAGTCGCCTGTGATCCTATTAGTCTTTGGAGTGCTGCTGTGACAGATGTAATATCCAGGATTTGGTTACTGGAATATTTAAATCATCTATTAAAATATACTTGTATTTATTTCAAAAACAGTTTGAAATTAGCAGATCCTTGACAGTCCAGAAGCCTCTTTCGGTCCCGCGGAGGTGTTGGAGGTGTTTCTCACTTGTCCCAGGTGGTGCCTGGGCAAGCACAGGCCTCCCCGAGCTCTGCTGAGTGTTCACATCCACCAGCGAGAAGTGTCCCTTTGCACTGCGCCACGGCCTGATTTTCAAGACAAGTCACTGAAGCCCTTGAAGAGTAAAACATCTTAGTTTTGTCTAAGATCCATATTTCTGTTAGATCATGGATAGTTCAACCTCCCTTTACAGTAAAATAGGATAGTTCAGGCGATCTGCTGCATGTTCTGTCTGCAAGAACTGGCCTTTCTTAGGTATGTTGTGAGAGTAATTACTAAAAAAGACAGCACATTTAGGTACAATTTCAAGCATTTCGTTTACGCTTTAACTGCTTAGTTGGCATTCAGTGTATTGTAAAAACATCTCACTTGCACTGCTATTAGAATACCAGGCCATTTTTTAAAGCATTTACATTGCTAGATGGAGCACTGTTAGCCAAGATGCAGTTTTTTTTGTCTGATAGCATTCAGAAAGAAAAAACAAAAGAGGAGAGGAAAAACAATCATTTCAATGTTAACAAAGCGAAGTATCCATCCCAGGGAGGGGTGGATGCTAATAAAGTGGAGCTACACAAATTATTCTCTACTTGTCATATATATTGGATTATCATCTAAATCACATTATAAAGCAGGACGAAGAAGCAAGCAGTTGTGCTTACCCTCCTCGCTGCTTAGCTCAGCTGAGCTGTTCTTGTGGGGAACACGTTTTCAAGGCAGGGCTATTGTCATTTTCAAAGGGGTAGAGCTAGGATGTGCTTCCTAAGTAGGAGCTGACTGCTGAGACAAGGGAAAAAGCTGAAGACCAGAGAGTATTTTATTTTGCATTTGGTTGCGAAGTTGAGCACTTCTAATCAATTTCGGTCATCAGGTTATTGCAATTAATACAACGTCATTTATGTTAGAATCTGTACGCTCTTTGCTTGTTCGTGTTTCCTTTAATATGTGTAGTTCTGTGCAATCACACACCCATAGCGAAGGAGAATTTAGAAGTGTTTTTTAACCTTGCTACATGCTCTTCTCTTTCTTCATTAGTAGGTATTAACGTTACTGTTTTCTTGAGAATACTGAAATACAGTGCTAGACAAGTTCCTCAAGGTGTTCCTTCATTAAAATGTTCATCTTTTTTGCATCAAAAAATCACCCTGATCCACCTTCCTGTCAGTGTGTAGTACACAAAGGATTCCCCGTTAGGGTAATTGCCATCTCTTTATTTACTCTGTTGCATTATTTTTTGAGCGTGAAGCTACTAAGTAAATCATGGGAGCCTGCTGTGAGAAAGACAGATCTATTTTAACAAATCCTTCTTGCTCTTGCTTTTTTGTAAGGGTTACTTCTACTATAATTGCACTTCTAAGGGCTTTTTGTGGTTTATTCATCTCATGATGTAATTTACATATGAACTTTTATGTTGTTTTATAAGCTAACATACATTATTTCCATGGTGTTTCTGAAGTGAAGAAAGACTTGACATGGTTGTACTAATCTAGAGTTTCTGAGAACATACTCAAATGAGACTTTGCTGATTTTCTTAGCAGGAGCCAGCTTGTATATTGTGCTATATATTTATGTATACAGAGATGTGGATGTATCCGCTTGTGTGCATGCGTATCGGATGCTATCAGGTTTCATTATGTTGTAACGTAAGTATATAGAGCAGAGAGGAGCAAAGGGTTGAAGCGTTTAGGACAAAAGGGTTAATACCATACCTTAATGCGCGTGGATGATGCCATGTGGTATCATTTGTGAGCTCGGAGGTGGCTGACCATTTCCATTTTGGTGTAAATCCCTTGAGAGGGAAGGCGTTTCAGAGCGGGGTGTGATCTGTTCTCCTGGTAAGAGTGATTGACAAGGAATGAATAAATAGTTAAAAGAACTGAATAAATAGCCACCCTCCTGTTTAAGTCCAGGCACACCCTGGCTGGCACATATATATTCTAATCCGACACTTCAACCAGACGCTTGAGTTGGTTGGTAACAAAAAACATTCCTGAAAACCCAAATCATAGTTTAATTGCAACTGCTTCTTACAGAGTTTTCTTTTCTAGTGACATTTTAGCAACAATTTGAATAAATGCAGGGAATTAGAATATTTTGCAAGTAGGATGTATTGATAAATATATATGCAAAAGGTGACGGAGGCCTCTTGAGTGGAAGCAGGGGCCCTGACAGCAGGTTCTTGGTCAATTGGTGAGGTGAAATGGTTCACTGAATTGGATAACGCAGTGCATACCATAGTGACTGATTAAATTGATTTGTCCATGGCTACTGCCTGCCCTGCTACTGAGGCCCCTTAACCTATTTTCAAACATTTTTTTGTTTTTTAAACCACTCTGAATACATGTGATATTAAAGGAAGCAAATGCGTTCACAGCTGTAAAATTCTGTCTTCTGAATTAAGATAAAATGCCTGATTTCCAGAAAGTCTGCACACTCCCATGTTATACTATATTATACTACACTTAGCCCAGGAACAAGTACACTACTAGAAACCGAAGGAGGAGATGATAATAAACATAATTCTTTAATATAACCTAAATTATAGTAAGTACCACATTTGTGAGTTCTTAATTTATTTACTGGGGGGGGAAACACATGTAAGGGTTTTTGTTGTTGCTGCTCTTTTGTTTTTCTAATTGCAAGTTTTACTTCCTTATTATTTTATCCAGAAGGTGTTTAGAAAGCTTGTGGGGGAAACAACAGCTGAATGCTAGTTAAGGAGACAGAATGCTACTGTTAAGTGGAGGTCACTAGTTTGAAAATACCTGCAGTGATCTGGGAAAAAGCAGTCAGATGGATATTGTTTAATAACTTAAAACTTCATTTAAAAAAAAATTATAGGGGGCGGAAGCTTGATGTTTTGGTCTTAGATGAGGATGTTTGTATTTTATGACTTATTTAGTATGTCCTTTCCTTTTCTATGCTAGGGAAATCAATACTAAATGACAGTGGGGCTTGTACGCGTTATTTTCTTCTTCATTCAAGGGAAGCTTTGTATTCTGTGTCTCTTCATGGGATGCTCTGCAGTATATGCAGACAGACTAGAGTAAGCATGGTCTTCAAATTTCACTGAAAAGAACACATAAAACTTCAGTGCAGCGGTGACATAAAAATGGAACCAGTTCACCTAAAATATGTTATTGCAGTTGTCATAGAAGTGCAGAGTTCAGTACAATGGGTTTGGTTTCTTGTTTCTTACTATTTTTTAGGGAAGATGTGACAATTTAATTACAATGTTTTCTGAAAGGATAATGAAGTTCCGTTCATCGTTTAACTTCTCTAAATTATAGGTCAGTCTTGTAGGACATGACAGCATGCCATGGGCAACTTGGGCTGTTTTTCATTTGTCTGTTAAAATAAAGATATGGTTAGTGTATTGCTAATAGCGAAGAAGAGATGGAGAGAGGGAGGTGCTGAGGGATTGTTTCTTGGGTGGATTTGCAAAGATTAACAGCCATTTTGCAATCTTTTTAAAAATAACATGGGTTTTACCAATACCATTTCTTTGGAAGGTAAATTCTGTAGGCGAGACTCCAGCTGTGCATACAGCTTTGCATGGACTAAACTTACTGGTTTTTATTTAGACTAGTAGCAACCGCTAAATACTAGCTGAAACAGTGCCTTGTTACTTGCCAGGGATCTGGAAATTTAAAATACTTTGATGTGGGCTTGAGCCAGAACATGTAGCACTACTTTGTACATATAGGTAGTTACAGTTACAGCCTTTTTAATCCTTCAGTTGACCTCACCAGGTCTAAGTATTTGTGCAGTCGTTTTTTTAAATTAGTTGATGGTTAATGGGAAGCAAAAAAATTATTGGTCTAGTTCTCTGCAGTAGCATGATGACAATAAATTATTCAGTGCAAGATTTATAAAACAAAGAGACAGAAACCATAGGAAAATGGCCGAAATAGAAAGCTCAGCGGTGAGCATGACTGGCGTGGGGTCACCATGCCGAAGGCGTATTGTTTCTGTGCCACGTGTTAGAATAACGCAGTGCGAGGGCTGGCGATCCTGGCGCGTGTTATGCAGCGAGAGGGTTCGGCAGGGAGCCGGC